TATATATATATATATATATGTGTGTGTGTGTGTGTATATATATGTGTGTGTGTGTGTGTGTGTATATATATATGTGTGTGTGTGTGTGTGTGTATATATATATGTGTGTGTGTGTGTGTGTATATATATATATATGTGTGTGTGTGTGTGTGTGTGTGTATGTATGTATGTATGTATATATATATATAAATAAAAATAATTTATTTCTTTATTTCTTAATACTTCAGGGAGCCACCGGTACAGGATTTTTCCTCTCCATTCCCAGATACCTAGAGAGGAGCAACGAAGAGTGTTTGACTCTGTACCTGAAAATGTAACAAAGGTTAGTTTCAGTTTGTTTATGTAAGAGTTTGCATAGGTTACATTGTTTAAGGTGTTTTGTGTTCGATGGAATATGGCAATACCAGGCTTGAGCTAGGAAATAATTAATCATGGCTCAGTACTTGACTTCTGACAAATGTAATAGGACTTTTTCTCAACCTATCTATAATAACATTTGCAAATTTATTTAAAGCAAAGCAAAGAGAGGATGCTTTGAGTCATAGAGCAGCATCAGGAAGCATCCATCATCTCTGGAGCAGTTAGGGATAAGGACCTTGTAACAAACAATACATTATTTAATATAATGATTCAGCAGAATGTAACAAATTGAAGGATAATGATGATGATAATAATAGGGTAATGTTACAATATAAAATTATAATGTAATCTATAAATTTGTTAAACTGTTTTTTACATAATGCAGTGTTATTGCATTATACATTGTTACATGGCATGTGACAGCCGATAATGTGATGAAAATGTTACATTTCATCAAGTTATTACATAATGCAGCGTTATTACATAATGCATTGTAACAGGCTTTGCTCAAGAGCCCGAAAGTGATCATTATTCACCCCCTTCTCAGACAGGGGCACAGATCCCTTAACTTACAGAAAACTGGAACATAAGTCTCCAGTCATTCCAGTAATGCTATAAAATGCAAATTCAGCTTCCCGTGTTTTGTTTTTGTCAGCTATTTTTGATATTGTTTTTTAGGTGATTTTGTCAACAAATATAGCAGAGACTAGCATTACCATCAATGATGTCGTCTATGTCATCGACTCTTGCAAGTAGGTATCTGCTCTAAGGTTCTGTTTAAAGCTGTGTTTTGCATGCTTTGAGTAAACAAGGAATTTTCTCAAATAGAATTTTTTGACCCCTATTTCTTTAGTTTTAAGCATTTCAATTTCTTTTTAAAGGCAGAAAGTGAAGCTGTTTACGTCTCACAACAATATGACAAACTATGCCACGGTTTGGGCATCCAAGACAAACTTGGAACAGAGGAAGGGCAGAGCAGGCAGAGTGCGGCCTGGCTTCTGCTTCCACCTCTGTAGCCAGGCCCGGTTTGAGAGGTAGGAAACCAAACTGGTTTTTAAAGGTGGAGTGTAGCAAACTTTTCCTAATAGCACTGTATAACTAGTAAAAGCATGCACAGAATGTTTTACATTTTGCATTTTCTGATTTTACATTACGTACATTACTGTATGTTGTATTTGCAGGGTCATTATCATTTCTTTAATGATTTGTATTTAGAGATATGGTTCATATCTCTCTGAGATTTATCATGAAACATCCTGATCAACATACACAAGATATGTAACTCATGTGTGGTTAGAATGTTGTGTCATGCCTCAGATTTTCTCCCCACCTTGAGTCATATGAAAATGTTATGATGTCAAGCATCTAGATAGATTTATCAGTATTAGCACTGATTTGCTTATTTTCTTCCATATGTAAACAATGTAACAAAAACACTGGATCACTGTAGTAGTGCTAGTTGATGAAGCATGCCCTAAGCAGGTATGCTCATTCTCATTTGATTTAGATTTTTAAATGGTTATATGGAGGATTAATTTGGAAACGGGGTCTGCAATGGACTGTTTACAGTATTAGGTGCTGATTGGATACAAATTGGCCAGTGAGATTAATTTTAACAGCCATAATTGTGCAGATGCCTGTGATTTTTGCTTTTTGTTGGTTTGCAATACATGAAGCTAAGTAATAAGATAAAATGAAAATGCCAGGTTTTGTCAAAAAGCCTCACACATAGGAGACAATTCATTGCACTTATAAAAACTCTGTTTCTCCAACATTGTTTGCCAAAATAATTACCAGTGACATTTTTGCTGGCTTGTATGGCCATTTTTTCAAATTCACTTTGAGAGAAACCACTGCTTTCTGTCAAATTCAGTTTATTTGTTGGTCTTCTAAAAGGTGATCAGTGAAAGTTGTACACCAATAAAAGTGAAACATGCCAACATGTCAGCATGTTGTCACTGTCATCCTACATTTTCTAGATTGATTTTTTTCCCCCCAGCATTACATCTTATAGTGTTTTATTATATTAAATGGTTATGAAATTAAATATTAATAGTGACTAAACATAAAAATTCTCACTCTGAATTCTAACTAGCTTAAACATAAAGTGATGAAATCATTCTTTTGTCTTTGATCATGTTAGATTACCGTGGTTGAGATTTACTCACTTTTTTTTTTTTTGACCAGAACTCTAGAGATTACTAATGCAATGAAAGTCACTTCAAAAGCATTGTATTGTTTCAACTAGTACTGTGCAGTATAAATGGTATACGATATAAATTTGGCCAACGGGAGAGATTTTGATTTTACCGCCCTACCGCAGAAATTTCCGCTCCTCGCCCGCAAAAATGACGTAATCATGTCGCATCAAATAATAAATAATTTATTTATATGATTTATATGAAAATTATTTACATGATTATTGCTGTACCTGGCACTGCACGGGTCTGATTTTGACAAACAGCACCCACCTGTACCCGTCATACTTAAACCCGTGTAATAAACCTACAATAGCGTCGGAGGCTGTAAGGGGAGAATAGACCACCACAAGACTTCAACTACAATTATAAAGATAATTTTATTCAGTACAATTCATGCAGCGACCCGTCGGGTCTGGGTTCACAAAGGGTTCGGCCCCGCTGTCTCCCTATAGCAAACCAACCCTTCCAAGCATGTTAACACACGTTACCACACAGTGAATCCCACACCACACAACATCCCTATTAGTAGGTATGTTACAATCTTCCGATTCCCGCTGCGCCGCTCTTCCGCGCAGGTGTGTTTACGTCATCACGAGTTTGGTGGAATAGCATAGCCGTGGAAAAACCTGAACGGTGGGTTTATTTTTAAAGTTCCAGGAGCACACGCTTATTGATGACGTAGTTCACATTTTTCGTCACAACCTCGTTTTCGAATTTTTGTTTTTGACCGGTCAGAAAGTGTTTCGTTTTCCCGTTGCAAAATTACCGATAAATTACTTCTCAAAGGCATCGCTTCAAAATCACTAGAGGTAAGTAGATTTTTAATAAAATCCTATAGATTTGATATATCATTTATTCAACCATGTCTGTGTGAAATTTCGTGACAATTCTTAGTGTCGAAGTAAATGGTTTTGCTTGCGAACGAAAGCATTCCCAACCAAGCGGTCACGGTAATGAGGTGCTCCAGATTTTATTCATCAGGTCACGTGACTGCTATACTGCAACCTGATTCGTCAAGCGCGTTTGTTTACATTGTAGATGACGAAGTGTGTTTGTTATGAGAGATCTTTCACTGATATTTTGTGCATTCCTGCAGGGCTTTTTTCACTAAAACAGCTTATAAAACAAATTGATAAATTTTTTTGAAGATCACATAATTTATTCAATTTCTTTAAATTTCTCTTCAACTTAAGATCACAGCCTTTGTTTACTCATTAGTGTAAAATACATTAAGAACAAAAGGAAAAAATGACCACTTATTTCCGCCGCTATAATTGCTTTAACATCCTTATTTCTCAAGATATTTCAATGATTTTGGTGTCATTCTGTTTGTTATCTAGTTCTCTATCAAATTCAGTTAGATTTTCTGTTACATGGGGGGTTTGGATTTTTTTGTAACATACCTACTATTAGGGCACGGCCCACCAATAGCACTGCAATACACAGTAATCCCCACACTTCGGGCACAGGCAAGCGTTACGTGACCAGTACCGCCTCTATAGTCCCGCTCCGACCCCTAGCAGGCTACGCTGCTTACTTTAAAACAAAAAAAAAAAACATACAAGGACAAGATTAAAACGCAGCGGCCCCCCCGAGGCTCAAAACCCTCCCCCGGGGAGGGAACGTTCACATAGGTCCGTAATCTAGGACACCACGCACAAAGGGAATTCCACCACCGTTCCGTCACTATGGGGATGCCGCTGTTCCCGTCTATCGAACACCCCGGATTAAACAGCGATCATGCACTCCTAACCACCCCCCGTCCTATTTGTCCTCCCCCTACCACACCAGAACCTGTTCCTGCAGCCCGCTATCTGGGTTCACCCTAAACGGCATACGAGCGGCACCTCCCTCCCAGAACCAACGAGTGCTGTGCCTAACAAGCGATCTCTCATCGAGCGCGGCTCTCTCCCCCCACTCTTCCTTGCATTCTCTGTTCTCCCTCTCTTAACCCCAAATCCCTAACAACCCAGGTGTAGCCACTTAATTAACCTTCCACGCCAACCCCTCCCCCCTCCACATACACACACATCACATCATTACACCTGTATCCGAACCGTTATCCGACAGAAAAATAAAATTCCGCACCCGCTATAAATAAATGCCGGTGTTCTGTCAATATATGCTGCCTTGTCAAAAAATGCTACCGTAGTGCTAATCGATAGCCCTAACCCTAACTCTTACCCTAACCCTAACCCCCTAAAACCCTTACCTTAACCCTAACCCCTAAAACCTAACTCTAATCCCAAGACGGTGGAACTGTAGATGCGCAGAAAGGCTCGATAGCACGTCTCGATAGGTAGTATTTTATGACAGAACACCGGTGTTCCGGGAAATTCAGTTTCCCTATGTTTCCCTTGTAGTGCGCTGATTTGTACACGGTTTCGCTGTTGTTTTCATGTGTTTTTACGAAGCTCTTGAGGTAAACAAGCCATATATTTTAAAACTTCACGTTTTTTGTTTTTACAGATAATAAATGAAAGTTTAATTCGCTGGATAGAGATATTTCTTGATGGTATAGTATTGCTTATAAGACTATATTATGCGTGACGATCTACTGTATGCACATGTAATAATGTACCTGAGTGATTTTCAGACATCTCGCATACATATTTGCCTAAATATTAGAAGAAACATCATTTCCTGTCATCCAGGATATTTGGTTCCCCCCTGTTAAAACAGGTATACAGCAACTCAGGGCCTCAGTACTAATAAGTACATTATTACATGTGAATACTGTATTGTTGAGTGATTTTCAGACATTTCACATACATCTTTGCTTTAATATTAGGGGAAACATTATTTCCTGATTGACAGGGGAAACATAGGGAAACCGAATTGCCCGGAACACCAGCACCCGACCAGCACCCAAATGAAAATCAGTCAGATAGCCAAAATTAAAGAAAAACGTTTATTGCCACAACAAATGATCAGTGACATGTGCAACATCAGTTGAAAAGGCATAGCCGTTGCTTAACAGCCTAATAATAAGCAAAACAAATGCTTGTAGTCTGCCTCCAAACTCAAATAATGTTTGATATTACCATGCCTACACGTAGCCTTACCAGCTTTCAATCAAATGTGTTAATAAAACTAAAATTATATAAAATGTACATTAGGCTACCCTGCACATTACTAGGTTTTATAAGCTACCTACGTGCACTGTCCATTTACCATTGATTACCCGATTGGAATTCCTACACGAATGTTCACATGTTCTTATGTTGTTAAGGCGAAGACTAGTGTTTGGTGTGGTGCTTTATATTACTGTGTAAAAAAGGATATCTTCCATGTGAGCAATATTGAGAAACAAACGCTCATGCTCTCTCCACCAAGACAAGACATCAAAAGAGTTGTTTTCGTTACCTGAGAACTCTGAAATTCTCCCACACGTCGGACTTGATTTTAGTGGAAGTATTGGGCACAACTTTAAACTCTCCACTTGCTAGTTTTCTTTTCAACTCCTTAGCATGCATTTCAAACAACTGCATGCGTTTTTTGAAAATGAAAGTGGGAGAGATTTCCAGGAATAGGCGTGCAGGCATAAACTGATATGGATTTTACGTTTTACCATCTTCAATGCAGGGATTTTTTGTGTGTCACTAAAAAATAGCCCTAGGGTATTTTTTGTTGGCACATGATGTTTTGAAAACCGCAATTTAGACCCGCGCTCTCCAGTGTCCAACCCGACCTGGACCCGTATCCAACACAATAGAATATTTTTCACCCGTTTCATCAAAATTTGGGGGTAACCCATCGGAAACCCAAACCCGTGCAGGACTCTGCCTGGCAGGACCTTTATGGGAGTGATGGTCATTCTAATATAGGTGGAGTTATGACACTAGTGTAATTGTATTAGTTTTGTAGCTTTTGGTTCTGTCTTGTTTTCTGCTTACTTACAGTTTACCAAACCAACCTGTGTTTTTAATATAAGATAAAACCAGGGAAGTTACTTGAAATGTTTTCATATTTTTTCTATAATTGCAGATTTGCACAATAAATATTCTGCGTTCACAACTGATTTTGAATTGTGTTAACAGTTTATTATACAACTTCCTGCTGCAATGCCTTTGCTATGGACATATGTTACCCTTTCAAAAACAGTTATAATTAAATTTACAGATCACATTATATACCGTCTACCGCAGGGTTATTCAACTCACGGTCCTCGAGGTCCGAGCACTGCTGGTTTTCCATCCTTTCTTTACCTGTCAGTCAGGTGTGAAGCCTCTGACCAATCAGAATCAGTAATTATTAAACAACTACCTGGGAGAACTGAAAACACGGCCTGGATTTGGAATCGAGGTCCAGAGTTGAAGAACCCTGGTCTACCGTCTATGGTTCAAATTATACCGCAATATGAATTTTATGCCATATCGACCAGCCCTAGTTTCAGCTAATTTGAAAATGCTTCCTCATAGTGTTATGCTGAATCACCTCCTGCTGTTTCTCTGTCATAGACTGGAAACCCACATGACAGCTGAGATCTTTCGGACACCTCTCCATGAAGTAGCCCTAAGTATCAAGCTGCTGAGACTAGGTGGTATTGGACAGTTTCTCTCAAAGGCCATTGAGCCTCCTCCTCTGGATGCGGTTATTGAGGCTGAGCACACTCTGAGAGGTAAAATTTCTTGTTGGATCATGGTAAACCCAGACCCTAACCTTCCATCATTTTATGCTGTTATTGAGGCTTAGCACTCTGAGGCACAGTTTGTAGGTGAAACCCTTTGCTCAACATATTTATATCTATTATATGTATTATACATGCTCACCAAGGGAACTAACAATCTGATTTTAGCTGCTGATATTTTTCTTAATAATTATAGATACTGCAGAGTCAGAGTACGGTTTTTAATAATTTTTCTGCTGAAGATTTTGTGTTTTGTGCTTTATTCTATGCAGAGCTGGATGCGTTAGATCTAAATGATGAATTGACCCCTCTGGGCAGAATCCTAGCAAAGCTGCCTATTGAACCCCGACTGGGAAAGATGATGATTATGGGATGCCTGTTCCAGTGAGTTCAAAATGAGATTAACTGCTATTAATATGGTTCTTGAAATAGTCATAGTGCTACACCTAATTGGTTTAGTCTCTTTAAATCAGCTTTTATTTTCTCCATTAAAAATAAATTTAATGAGCAACAGCTATGTTCTTGTTTATTATTGGTATATAACATTGGTCAACATTATTTTTCACAAAAATGTTTCACAAATCGAAATAGGTGCATTGTGCTGAATTCAGATGTCTAAACAATTAGCCTATAATGCAAGGATTTTGAGTGACACAATTAAACTTTATGGTACATATATATTTGCAGTATATGTGCATGTTACAAGTGACTCATGTAAAAGGTATGATTTTGTCCTGCATTTGGCCTCAGAAACATCCTTCTTAAGTGTCCAGCAGAAGTCAGCCAACATGCTGGGATTCCACTTGCATTGATAGCATTTTTCCCATATCAGAGAGAGAACAGGACCTTGTCTCTACATGTTCAAACATGGTACAGCCTGTAAACTCTGGCAAAACACAATTATAGTACTATGCACCCTTTTATAAAGTCCTAAAATGCCCAGAAAATAAAAATCAAATGATCTCTCCTAAATTAAACTGAAATATGCCAATACAGACGCTCCTCTACTTATGAACTTTCAGACATACGAACGAAGAGGACTGCAAGTCCAAATTGTGTTCGATGGGCTCTTGTTTCCTGTCTGCAACATCAAATTCCCACGTTTTACACATTTTGCCATAACTATATAAAATTTTCTGGTTCTCAGAGTTATTTCTGCGATCTGCATCACAAAATCTATCTGGTACACCATAAATTATAAAGGAAACAAAAACCAGTGTAATTAAATGGATCAGATGAGCTGCTGTTAAAAGTCTTGCACCCTGTATTGAAATAGTCTTATAACCTCTTATTCAGTGGTACAGCTGAGACATCTGATAGTAGAATTGTGCCAGAAATAATAAACAATCATGCTGTAGTGTTTCAGATTATAATGGTCATAAAAAACCACATGGATCGTGGGTTGTTATTACCTAGACCATACAGAATAAATGTGTAAGCTTAGCAAGGTTTTTATCTAGTATATTTTCTATAGCTGAGGAATTTTGAGATTTTCTTGTGCATAAATATAAAGGAAATGGGATTTTAAATAAAATTATAATTTATTTGTATAATTCCTAATAGCTTTTGACAAATTGTTTTTTGTAAGTATTCTTTATGCCCACCATTTTCTTTGTGACACTTAAGTAACAAAGTGAAATGCTTACGAGGAATAACATCTTAATAATTAGTCATGCTAGTAGTTTGCTTTGCCATCACAATTGTTGCTTTCCATTTCTTCTCCTTAGTGTTGGTGATGCAATGTGCACCATCTCAGCAGCCACCTGCTTCCCAGAGCCATTCATCAGTGAGGGCAAGCGGCTGGGTTTTGTTCACAGGAATTTCGCCGGCTATCGCTTCTCAGACCACGTGGCTCTTCTTTCAGCCTTTCAGGCCTGGGATGATGCTAGGTTGGTTACGTTAAAATAAATTACTGTAGAGCCAGGCAATATCTAAAAAATAATGTGCAATATTATAATTTTAAAAATCAAGCCGTGGTTTTGTTATGTCCTTGGTTTTAGAATGGGTGGGGAAGATGCAGAAATCAGGTTCTGTGAACACAAACGGCTGAACATGTCCACTCTGAGGATGACATGGGAAGCCAAAGTGCAGCTGAAGGATATTCTGATCAATTCTGGGTTTCCTGAAGGTAAGGTGGTTCATTATTTTTGTCTCTCTAAATTTTGATATTTATAATGGAAATGTTTTTCTGATAATACTGTATTGCAATACATTTGGTTTTAGCACCAGTCTGCTGCCACAAAAGCTTTGCTTGTTAAAATGTTAGTTCAGAAACTGTTTATATATGTGAGGAACTGATTCCATTTTGAGACAAATCCCCCCAAAACTGAAGTGACTGTTTAGTGGCAGCAAAAGAAATAGTCAAAACATTTGACCTTGTGAATGTGATAATTGGATGGATCTTATTGCTGCTTCACAAAACAGTAAGTAACTCTAAAAGTATTTTATCAATCTTTGTTAAACTTTGCAGACATATTGTAGAGGTGAGAAACAAAGTGGCCAAATTTTAAGACTGACAAATCACACCAAAATTGAATCAATACCACATAGTGAGGGCAAAGAGAAGGGAAACCTCAGACAATTGATCTTGTCAGCAGGATAGCTTATTTGTCATGAGTTGCATGCAGGTACACTGTATGGGTGAAGACCTGACAACACAAGGTTAGCCAGCGTGTGGTGCTCCTGGAGTCCAGCCTGAAGGGCTACCAGACATATGACTATTCTATAGAAGCCAGAGCTCAAACCGGTGAGCTTTTGATCACAGGCACAGGGACTTAACCCGCCGAGCCTCTCATCACCCCTTGTATTTCATATTAATCTTCTATTTACTCTATTTGATGTATGATGGATCTTATTACCAAATTATGTGGATGAAGATCTCTTCCTGCAAATCCACACCTGGAATCCCTGAGACAGATTTCCCAAAATTTGAAACAGTTCTGATGGATGGCAGCAGAAGGCAGAAAAGGTTGTTTGCAGACAGTAGTGAACACTGTTATCTGAAATCTGAAAATATCTCTTTAAATTTCCCAAGAACATTGTATAGGTCAGTGATTCTCGAGTTGTGAGGCATGAGATGGTTTTCTGAATATTCTGAAATAATAAAAAAAAATAAATTTCATCGGCTCACCTGCTCTGCAAATTTTATTGATTTCTGGTAGCTGGTCAATGAAATTTGGTGAAATTCATCATGGGGGGATTTAATTAAAGTTGGGCTTTGATTGTTTTTTGTTTTTTTTTGAAAATGTGTAGGGTAAGTTTGGGTAGTATTATGGTAATTGGCATTTCGGCATTTTCATTCAGTGTAATATATAGTGGCTGAACACCTCCAAGCTGTATAACTGATATGAGAAATTAGATTGANCCCCCAAGCTGTATAACTGATATGAGAAATTAGATTGAGGTTCAGACGTGTGGGAGTAGTAATGATTAGAGAGTGGAGAGGGGATGACAGGGGTGTCTAGGGAAAGCATCATTGTCATTTTTTGTCTGCTTTTTTGACATTTGTATGCATAGGGTCTGTAGGTGTCAGTATAACATTACATTCTAGTTACTTAGTTATGCCTGCAGAGCCCTGGAGGGGAGGACTTGTTTTTTTCCATAGATACAATGTATTTAATCTTGTGCACAATTTAACTTGCTTACAATGTGTGCATAATACTCGTTTTGGTTCTGTTCTTTCCTAATGAAAATGTATTCTTTGTCCATAAAAAAGGACAGGAGAATAAATTTGGAATGGGAGATATGCATTATTATAAAGACATGGCCTCTGAGATGTATTCATATATTTATTACCATGCTCAGTATTAAGAATTAGATGACCATAACCTCTAATTTCCACCTTAGAATTGGTTGAGACTCTTAACTTGTACCTTAACTCATTTGCACTTAACTGATTTTTTTATTCTAAATTACTTAAAGAAGAAGGAATGACTACAATTTGTGTGCTCCCTGTGATTTTAACCCAAGGGCTTACGTTCTAAATGGTTAATCTCTCTGCTACATCAAAAGAGAAAAAAGTAATTGATTGAACCACAGCATTTATTGTATTGCCCGGACTCCAGGAAATACATTTGGTTTTAGCTCTGGCCGGCCACTGCAGACATTTTGCTTAAGAGAACTCAAAACCATTTGATATACCTTTTTAAGCTTTTGCAAATTTATTGTGGGAGAATGTAATAATCACTTTTTTGGAAAGGTGGGTAGAGTGTAACAGGTATTCTTGTTCAGTGACGTGTGTGAGACAAAGAATGTGATTAACCACATTTAATGCTTTTACACCTATCACTTTTATGAATGTAGTGACGCATCCATAAGCAACCATTTGTCAAATGAGTGAATCAAGAAACTAAGAGTTATGATCATTTGGTCTATAAAAATACTTCTTTTTCAACACAGAATGCTTGATGGTGCAGGTGTTTAGCAATGTTGACCCAGACAACAATCTGGATGTGGTGGTTTCCCTTCTGAGCTTTGGCTTGTACCCCAATGTCTGCTACCACAAAGAGAAAAGGAAGATCCTCACCACTGAGGGACGTAATGCCCTCATCCACAAGTCTTCAGTAAACTGCCCCTTCAGCAATCAAGACATGAAATACCCTGGACCATTTTTTGTTTTTGGAGAAAAAGTGAGTTCAAAGCAGATACTGGGAAGCTGTATTTAAATTTATAGCTGTCACTTTTATTGCAAAATAAAGGGTCTAATAAAGGGTTTGATTTAGTTATGACAATTTTTTGTGCTTTTGTCAAAATTCTGAACAGATTCGGACACGTGCCATTTCTGCCAAAGGAATGACTCTGGTCAGCCCAATACAGCTAATTTTGTTTGCATCAAAAAAAATTTTGTCCCAAGGTGACATTGTTGTACTTGATGACTGGTATGTACATTCATTGTCATTATACATTTGTTTTTTCCTGAAAATATTCCCAGACTTTTGATGTCCACGGTCTTTCAGAGTAGGAGTTCCCAACCCCCGTATTGTGGACCCTATTTGTAATATTTTGCAGTTAATTTATCATCTTATTCATTGATTGCTATGTTTTCATGTGCCACATCTGTACTGAATCTGTATAGATATTTTATACTAAGTAAGTATTTTCTTTTATAGGATCAAGCTTAACATACCCCATACTACAGCTGGCTGCATAGCAGCTATTAGAGCAGGCATGGAAGCCCTTCTTGTAGATGTCACAAAAGATCCAGAGTATATCCGGCAGATGAACCCTGTCAGCCAGAAAATGCTGAATCTAATACGGCTGATTTCTAAACCTTCAGCAGCTGGACTGAACCTTATGGTTTCCAGCTCACGGTAAGTGATTACATAGTTTTTTTGGTTTTTTTTTTACTTTTAACTGTACTTTATGGTATTGGCTTCTGGGTCAGTGTGATTATGGAAAATGGTTGGATGATACACACAAACCTAGGATTGTGGCACAATTCTAAAAATATTGTTGAAAGTATAGTAAAAAAGCTTGTGATATTAACATATATGTGGGTTTCTTACTAGACTTATATTTCCAATAAAAAAATGTCATTTTGTTTGAGATGTTCCGTTGTTGCATGTACAAAGGCAGTACTGAAATTGCTGATTTTTCCAGTCCCACTCAATGCTAAAGATCAGTTTGATCATTGTTTTCCTTCTCTGTGGTTAGTAAAGTTAAATGATCATAGTACAGTAGATGTCACTGCTCCTGCACTGTGACTTTGCCTGTTTAATCAATCGGTTCAATTAATCAAAGAACCACTTAAGCAATCGATTAATTCAAGTTTTCTTTTTTTTATATATATAATCAGATTTGGAGATGGTCCTCGGCCTTCTAAGATGCCCCGTTTTGACAGGGGTGGTCGAGGATTTCATGGAGGATACCAAGCAGGATACCAGCGGGGGTGTCAGGGAGGTTATCAGGGTGGATACCAGGGAGGATTCCAAGCTGGTTATGCCCCCAGGTACCAGAGAGGCTATGGAGGCGGTGTATACAGGCAGGGTGGAGGTAGAGGAGCATACAGAGGGTCCTGGGGAGGATTCAGAGGTGGAAGTGGAAGTGGGGGCCGCGGCTATGGCCGATGAAGAGGAGGTGAACAATTTAAGGAAGTTTCACAAGTACAAAGCTTTCCTTCTCTGTTAGTTGCTATAAATGATACAAACATATGTTAAGGTAGTTCAAAACAATTTAACTATTTTTAAAGGATTTTTGTTTTTATACAAGTTGGGACAAAAACACCTTTTCATTTTCATATACATGTGTTTATTGGGGGTTTTGTCTCACTTTTCTCACAAAGGAAGCATGAGTGCTGTGGCAGAAGCGTAACATCTCACATTTGTCACAATCAGGCAATATTCTGTTTTTTTTTTTACTTTACAGATGTGGAATTTCTTTTCTTCTGTGTAAAGCTCTTTGCTGTGCTGTCAGTTAAATTCTTTGGGGAAATTTTGTACAAGTTACATAGAAAGTGAATTTCTGTTTGAATTTGTTGTTCATGGCCACACTGTGTTTGTGCTGTATTTGGAAGTGTCAGCCTGATTTGTTTTATCAGCTTGATTCTGAATATTCTGTTCACATGGCTACTTTATAAATATTTAAATATTGTCATAGTTTCAAACTTGGCCTTCCATTCAGGCTTAATGTTCCATATACAATTGAAAACATGTATAATTTAATAAAACATGGAAATATTCTTTGCAAAAATATCCATTATCCATATTTACTTTTTGTTAGTATCCCAAAATCTGAGATTCTTATCCATTTCAAATTGTTAGGTACAGAATCTTGTTTCCCATGTAACTAGCTCTACAAACAACGCATTTGTATAGTATGTATACTACCGTTTGAAAGTCACATAAAGCAAGTTTTTGTCTATTAAAATAACATCAGATTGATCATAAATACTGTGTAGATTGTTAATGTTGTAAATAACAATCATAGCTGGAAACAGCTATTTTTTAATGGAAAAATCTATATAGTTGTTCAGAGGCTCATTATCTGCAACAATTAGTCCTGTGTTGCAGTAGAATGTTGTGTTTTCTATGAGGGGCCATACAAGCCATAATTCATTCTGGGCCTCTCACATGCATACATACTCCTTTCACATACATGCATTATCCTTGCATACGCTTATACTTTCATTTTCATATACATACATTCTCTTTTTATATATACATTGTCTTTGCACACACTTTTACTTTCACTTTCATATACATTCTCTTTACACATACATACATTCTCCTTTTACATACATATACAGTATGCTCTCAGATACATACTGGACGTACATACATAAGCCCCTGTTGTCTCTTTTTATTTAAATGAAAGCAGTACCACAGATGGTCTTCCATAATACAAAGGTGGGTTGTCATGTTACGGGCTTATGAGTATTCCATTGTGTTCAAGAAAGGGAAATGCCACGGAAATGCAGATGCCTTGAGTAGACTTCCGCTGCCAGATACACCAGTGGTCAGTGAGGAGGAGGACAGAATTCTCATCTTGAATGATTCTGACATCACGTAGGTCACAGCAGACCAAATAAAAACCTGAACAGAGATGGATCCGGTACTACCCCAAGTGCATGAGTGGGTTTTATGAGGCTACTCCGGAGCAATGAGTTGACCTGAATTGGCACCTTACTGTGTGAGGAGAACCAAGTTAAGTGTCTAAAATGGGTCTGTGTTATGGGGTGCACATGTCATTGTTCCAGCACCAGGATGACGGGATGTCCTCAAACAGCTGCATCAGTGTCATCCTTTCACGCATGAAAGCGCTAGCATACAGTTATGTCTGGTGGTCGAAAATGGATCAGGAGGTAGAGCATTAGGATAAAGCCTGTGTTACATGTCAAGAGCACCAACATTATCCTGCAGTGGCCCCACTTCATCTGTGAGCCTGGGCTGGCCGACCTTGGAAAAGGTTGCATATTGACTATGCTGGAACGTTTACGGAAAAAATCTTCCTGATCATCATAGATGCACACTCAAAGTGGATGGATTTCTATCCAGTCAGTACAGCAACTTCAGTGGTGACAATTGATTGTTTGCGATGCTCTTTCAGTACACATGAATTACTTGAATTACAAGAATTAGTTGTACGTTTGTTGTATTTGACTTGGTGGTGCCAGGTAACCTATCCTTGGATTGCTACCTTATCGTGGTGGAGGGATTTGCGTGCCTCAGTGACCCTGGGGGCTGGGTTGCCCCTGGTAGGATCTCCCAAGGCAAAGAGCAATCCAAAACACCCCTGATGAAACAGTATTATAGTAAGGTCTCGTTTCCCTCACCCGGACTAGGCTGACCGGGGCCCCATCCTGGGGCCAGGCCTGGGGGAGAGGCCTGTTGGAGAGCGCCTGGTGGACAGGCTTTGGCTCGTCCACCAGGACTGTCCCCAGGTGGGCCCACCATCCGCAAGGGGAATGTCAGGGGTTTGGTGCTATGTGGATTGGGTGGCAGCCAAGGGAGGCCCTGGTGGACTGATCCACGGCTGACAAAACTGGCATTCGGGACATGGAACGTCACCTCTCTGGTGGAGAAGGAGCCTGAGCTTGTGCGTGAGGCTGAGACATACGGGCTAGATATAGCGTGGGCTCTGGAACCAATCTCCTAGAGAGGGGCTGGATGCTCTTTTCTTCTGGAGTTGTGGCAGATGCGCTGGGCTGGGGTAGGGCTACTGGTGGCCCCCACAGCTCGGTGCATTAACATCGGAGTTTACCCCGGTGAACAAGAGGGCTGCCTCCCTGCACCCTCAGGCCGGGGAGAGGTCTCTGACTGTCATTAGTGCCGAATGACAGTTCAGAGTGCCCAGCCTTCTTGGACTCCCTGAGTGGTGTGCTGGTTAGCGCACCACGAGGGATTCCATCGTTTTGCTTGGGGACTTCAACACTCAAGTGGGCAGCGACAGTATGGCTTGGAGGGGGGTGACGGACTCCCGGATCTGAATCCAAGTGGTGTTCTGTTGTTGGTCTTCAGTGCAACGCATGGTTTGTCCATAATGAACACCATATTCGAGCATAAGGGTGTCCGTAAGTGGACATGGTATGAACATACCTGGGGCTGCAGATCAATGATCAATTTTATAATGTCTTGTACACTCGGGTGAAGAGAGGAGCAGAGCTGTCAACTGATCACCACCAGGTAGTAAGCTGGCTCAGGTGGCAGGGGAGGAAGTCAGTCAGAACTGGTAGGCCCAAGCACATAGGGAGGGTCTGCTGGGAACATTTGGCAGAGGCTCCTGTTTGCCAGATCTTCAACTCACACCTCTGGCAGAACTCGAACTGCTTATTGGGGGTGGTTGGGGACATGGAGTATGAATGGACATTGTGGAAGTGCCTGTACGGAGCTGTGGCTGCAGGGTGGTCAGTACCAGTCATGTTGGTCACCCCCATACCCGATGGTGGACACAAAAGATGAGGGGGGCTGTCAAGCTGAAGGAGGCCCACCAGGAATTATTAGCCTGGGGGTCTCTGGAGGCAGTTGACAGATACCGGCAAGCCAGGAAGAATGCAGCTCGGGCGGTTGCAGAAGCAAAAACCTGGGTGTGGGAGGAGTTTGGTGAGGCCATGGAAAGTGATTTTTTGGTTGGCCTCAAAAAGGTTCTGGTAAACCGTCCGGAATATCAGGAAGGGGAAGCAGCTCCTGGTTCCTACTGTTTACACTGGGGAGGGGGTACTGTTGATCTTACCTGGGGACATCATCTGGAGATGGAAGGAATACTTTGAGGACCTCCTCAACCCTGCCTAAGGTGGCTGAGGTGGACTTGCCCATCACTGAGGCCGAGGTTGCCAGGGTGGTTAAAGAGCTCCTTGCCGGCCGGGCCCCAGGTGTGGATGAAATTCTTGTGGAGTACCAGAAGGCTCTGGATGTTGTGGGGCTGTCATGGTTGACACTCCTGCTCAACAGTGCGTGGAGGTCAGGGGCAGTACCGCTGGATTGGCAGACCGGGCTGGTGGTCCCCTTATTTAAGAAAGGGGATCGGAGATTGTGTTCCAGCTATAGGGGATCATACTTCTCAGCCTTCCTGGGAAAGTCTATTCCAGGGTACTGGAGAGGAGGGTGAGATCAATAGTCGAATCTTGGATTCAGAAGGAACTATGCAGTTTTTGTCCTGGCAGTGGAACACTGGACCAGCTTTATACCCTTGCAAGGGTACTGGTGGGAGCCTGGGAGTTTGCTCAACCAGTCTACATGTGTTTTGTGGACTTAGAAAAGGCTTATGACCGGGTTCCCCGAAGTGCTCTGTGGGGGGTGCTTCGGGAGCATGGGGTTCGTGGCCCGCTACTGCGGGCGATTCAGTCCCTATCTGAATAATGTCACCTGTCTGGTGGGGAAGGAGCCTGAGCTGTTGCACGAGGCTGTGAGGTTCCAACTAGATGTAGTGAGGCTCACCTCGACGCACGGCTTGGGCTCTGGAACCAGTCTCCTCGAAGGAGTTGCTCACGGGGAGAGGCACCGAGCTGGGGTGGGCATACTTATTGCCCCCTGGCTGGGCACCTGTACATTGGGGTTTACCGCGGTGGATGAGAGGGTAGCCTCCCTTCGCCTTCGAGTGGGGGGACGGGTCCTGACTGTTGTTTGTGCTTATGCACTAAACGGCAGTTCAGAATACCCACCCTTTTTGGAGTCCTTGGAAGGGGTGTTGGAGAGCGCTCCTCCCAGAGACTTGGACACTCAGGTGAGGAGAGGAGCGGAGCTGTCAACCGATCACCACGTGGTGGTGGGTTGGCTCCGCTGGTGTGGGAGGAAGCCGGTCAGACCTGGCAGACCCAAGCGTATAGTGCGGGTCTGCTGGGAATGTCTGGCGGAATTCCCTGTCAGAGCGAGTTTCAACTCCTACCTCCGGCAGAACTTCGCCTATGTCCCGGGGAAGGCGGGGGACATCGAGTCCGAATGGGCCATGTTCCGCAACTCCATTGTGGAGGCGGCTGACCGGAGCTGTGGCCGTAAGGTGGTCGGTGCTTGTCGCGGCGGCAATCCCCTAACCCGCTGGTGGACATCGGCGGTGAGGGATGCTGTAAAGCTGAAGAAGGGGTCCTATTGGGCCTTTTTGGCCTGTGGGACTCCGGAAGCAGCTGATGAGTACCGGCGGGCTAAGCAAAACGCGGCTTTGGTGGTCCCTGACGCAAAAACTCGGGTATGGGAGGAATTTGGCAAGGCCATGGAGAACGGCTTCCGGATGGCTTCGAGGAGATTCTGGTCCACTATCTGGCGTCTCAGGGCGGGAAAGCGGTGCAGCATCAACACTGTTTATGGTGGGGATGGTGCACTGCTGACCTCAGCTCGGAACGTTGTGGGTCGGTGGATGGAATACTTTGAAGACCTCCTTAATCCCACCGACCCGCCTTCCAATGAGGAAGCAGAGTCAGGGGACTTGGGGGTGGACTCGCCTATCTCTGGGGCGGCGGTTGCTGAGGTGGTTAAAAAGCTCCTCGGTGGCGGGGGTGGATGAGATCCGCCCCGGAGTTCCTCAAGGCTCTGGATGTTGTAGGGCTTGGTTGACACGCATCTGCAGCATCACGTGGACATCGGGGGCGGTGCCTCTGGATTGGCAGACCGGGGTGGTGGTCCCCATCTTTAAGGAAGGGGACCAGAGGGTGTGTTCCAACTATAGGGGGATCACACTCCTCAGCCTCCCTGGTAAGGTCTATTCGGGGGTGCTGGAGTGGAGGGTCCGTCGGATAGTCGAACCTTGGAATCTTGGTTTTCGCCCTGGCTGTGGAACAGTGGACCAGTTCTATACTCTCGGCAGGGTCCTGGAGGGTGCGTTGGAGTTTGCCCAACCAGTCTACATGTGCTTTGTGGACTTGGAGAAGGCATTCGACTGTGTCCCTTGGGGAGTCCTGTGGGGAGTGCTCCGGGAGTATGGGCTGCCTTATAAGGGCTGTTCGGCCCCTGTACACCCGGTGTGAGAGCTTGGTCTGCATTGCCGGCATAAGTCGGACTCGTTCCCGGTGAGGGTTGGACTCCGCCAGGGCTGCCCTATATCACCGATTCTGTTCATAACCTTTATGGACAGAATTTCTAGGCACAGCCAGGGTGTTGAGGGTGTCCGGTATGGTGACCTCAGGATTAGGTCAGCCAAGTGTGAAGCGGCTGGAGTGAAAATCAGCACCTCCAAATCCGAGACCATGGTCCTCAGCCGCTGGAGGGACTATGTCCCTCGGCTGGCCTGGGAACGCCTCGGGATTCCCCCAGAGGATCTGGAGGAAGTGGCGGGGGAGAGGGAAGTCTGGGTTTCCCTGCTGAGACTGCTGCCCCCGTGACCTGACCTCGGATAAGCGGAAGTTAATGGATGGATGGATGGACGTGGTCCTGTTGGCTTCATCTGCTGGGGTCGTCCAGCGTGTTCTGGAGCGGTTTGCAGCCAAATGCGAAGAAGCGGGGATGAGGATTAGCAGCTCCAAATCTGAGACCATGGTTCTCAGCCAGAAATGGGTAGATTGCCCTCTTCAGGTCAGGGAGGAGGTACTGCCTCAAGTGGAGGAGTTTAAGTATCTTGGGGTCTTGTTCACGAGAGAGGGTAAAACAGATCGAGAGCTGGACAGATGGTTCGAAGCAGCATCTGCAGTTCTGCAGGCGCTTAATCAATTCATTGTGACTAAAAAAGAACTGAGCCTGAAAGCAAAGCTCTTGTCCATTGGTCCATCTTTGTTCCTACCCTCACCTTTGGTCATGACCTGTGGGTAGTGACTGAAAGAATGAGATTGCGGATACAGGCGGCCAAAATGAGGTTTCTCTGCAGGGTGTCTGGGCTCTCCGTTAGAGATATGGTGAGAAGTTCGGATATCCGGGAGTCTCAGAGTAGAATTGCACTGATTTTGGTTGATCAGCCTTTTGTATTAGGGCTACGAATACCTGGAACTCTATTCATATCACTATTAGGCAAAGTTCAAATTTTCCCTTCTTTAAAATAACTAAAACTATGGCTGAAATCCATATGACCATTAGTCTCTGTGAGATATTAATCATGTGTGCATTTTTTTATGTGCTGTATTGTATGATGTTTATATATTATACATTCCAATTTTAACTTATGATGTAAACCAGGGTTATTCAAATCACGGTCCTTGAGGTCCGAGCACTGCTGGTTTTCCAGCCTTCCTTTACCTGTCAGTCAGATGTGAAGCCTCTGACCAATCAGAATCAGTAATTATTAAACTAACTACTTGGGAGAACTGAAAACAAGGCCTGGATTTGGAATCGAGGTCCAGATATTAAGAACCCTGATGTAAACTATAGCTATTACCTGCCCAGTGACTGCAGATGAAATGTAGCTTTCTATCTAACTCTGTGACAATTAATAACTGTCCATTGTCCGTGTTAAATAAAACAAATAAAATAAATAAACCATTTACTTCAAGTACAACATGTCTGGTACCTATAGCAGGATAGAAGTAGGCCTGTCAGTTGCAGGACAAATACGCACAACTGGAAAACTAGAGGCACCAATTTAGCCAGTCTGGTGTTTTTAGAATGTAGGACATAACTGAAATATCCAGTGAAATGCCTGCTTAACTTGAGTACATGCAATGCTTACGCACAGAGCTGTGGATAGGAATCATATGCACAAGCCTGGAGGTGTGAAGCTGCCGTATGAACCACTGAATGACACAAGGCCACCCGTCTCTTACAATTAGTGCAGAAGAGCCTGATACGCTTTTTTCTAAATCATATTGTCCTGCATTTCACAGGAAGATGTATAATTATGGATAGATGCAAACCATAAAAATATATTGACCATATTCTGTAAATTACATTATTGCATTCCAGCACATGGTTGCCACCCCATCCTGTGTTATTTCCTGCTTTGATTTGAATAGGCTCCAGCCCCCCATGACCCTGAATATGACAATCAGTTACTGAAAATGGATAGATGGTTGTCTGGCTGGCATTCCAACAGAGTTGTGTGTCTCGTTTGACTTTTGCTATTGTTCAGTTTTAATAAAAACGTGAAGTTTGTTACCTTTTTCATCAGTTCACATTGCAATATTTGACGTTTTTGTGATATTTAAGAGTTAACTATACAGCTGATGCTCAGTTTCCATTGAAAAGTAGCTCCTTTCAAAACATTGGACCGATATCAAATACACAACACATGAAAAGACTCTTCTGATAGCTTACTGCATATCCTGATTAGCTTAAATTGTTTGAGTCCAATAAGATAGAGAGATGGAACATAAACATACACAAAGAAAATGGCTATCTCAAATAAAATTGAGTTTCCGCATTTGAATCTTGAACCATGAAATGAAGTTGTGTTTATGCATTTATGGAAACAACAGCATGGCATTTCAATGAAAGCATTTTCACACAACAATAAATGTGTTTAATTTGGAGGTCTGTAGTTATAAACATTTCAAAATCTATAGTTTTGGATAGAAAGCTTTTTTTCAAAATAAGTAATCAATGTTAGTTTTGGTGAAATTTGGACCTGAATATCAGTTAAGGAAAATGCAAAATTCTTAAATAACCAGGACATGTTCTTTAACAGATTAACATTTACATCTGTGTAAGCTCTATGAAGTCTGTATAAAAAGATACAAAACAAAGACTACATATAAACATCAGACTCGCTTCATTCATGGACTCTCATCCATTTCTGCAATAACACTGAAAGCTTGCAGAAGGGAGGTCAGCTATGAATCCAGAGCAGAATTCTTGGTGAGATCTAGTTCCTGTTTCTCTTTGCCTTCTTGCACTGGCCATTTCACACAGACATGATATGGTCTGAGTTCATCTTCAGAGATAAAGTCTGGCGCACCACTCATGAGGTCGTGTCCACGGAAGGACTTGGGAAAGGCGATGACATCTCGGATGCTGGAGGCACCCACAATGATAGACAACAGTCTGTCTAACCCTGTTAATATAGAATATTACATTATCCTTTGAAATCGTTACACAAAAGAAGTAGCAGATCACATGGTTCTCATGGTCCATAATATCAAATTTAGATATTACATCAATTTAACACAAAATGACAATGCATTTCCACTGAAAGATCACATCACTCGGGAATATATCAGTCACAGGAAATAAAATACATTACAAAATGCAAAATAAGTGCTATGGAATCTCAAAATGAAACTTTGGTAATAAGAGACACTAAGGCATTCTCCAAATGGAAATGAAAACAGTCCACGGCCATTTTACCTAAAGCAATCCCACCATGTGGAGGTGCTCCGGAGTCTAGCGCCTCCAACAGATGAGAAAGGAGAGAGGAATCCTCCTGTAATTCAGAAAACCATAACGGACAGTATGTTTCTCCAGCTTTATGTTGAGTACATGCTGCTAAAAACTCATTTCAGATGTGTGGCTATTAAAGAAGTATGCCACAGTCTCTACAAAATGATTGCCACTGTTAAATCAGCTGCTGCACAGAGAATAAGTGCTTTCCCACAGAACTTCAGGAACCTAGTTTCATCTCTGTCAGGAACTTTTATAGTAATGTGCTGCCAGCACTGGTTATATTAAACAGAGGTGTGTGTGTGTGTGTATATTTGTTATCAATGGAATTTTACAGTTCAGAAATAAGGAGATGCAAGCAAAAATGGTACTCCTTGTTCCTGGAAAAAAAAACAGTTCCCACCAGTCAACTGATGACTGTTGCCAAGCAACACAAACATTCCAATGAAACACAGCTCAGTCACTCCCAACTACTTTGTATCATTTAAATTTGACTAAAGTAACAGTTTTTAGATACACCTGTAAAGTAGTGACACATCTGACATGAAACGGCTGACTGCAGTCATACTTTGATGGCAGCACTCATAGAATGCCTCTTGTCCAATCAGATTTTTTGGTTGAAATAAGCATTTAAAGGAGAACAAGCATTTACAGGAGAAATTACCTTTAGGATTTTTTCCAGCACAAACTTCTGCACTGATGCATCATGAATACGTATAGACCCTCCTCCTACCTCACACCCGTTCACAACCAGGTCAAAATGCTGGCTCCGCACCTATATCAGAATATGGAGTAAGCATTTAGCTGTGTGAGTATGTATTCAATGTTTTTCTGTACTGCTTACCTAACAAATTAAATGATTTTTGTGGCAATCAATATTTTAACATTTTCTGCAGCTAGTGATATCCCATATAAAGAGATTCCCAGATATTGAAGAATCTGATTTTTTAAAAATCAGCTGATTTCAGAATTCTCCAGAAAACAAAAACCAAGAGTCTAGAAAGACAAAAATCTTATCTAATGTAAAGTTATTTAGTAACAGTTTAATATACTTAATAGCAATACATGGGAGTGCCTTGTATACAGACATGCCTATTGGTGTGCATGTGCATTGGCTGTGACCTTGTGGGGTTCCTTAAGCAGCAGGGGAAGATCCTCAGGGTGTGCAGCAGTGAATGGGTGGTGGGCTGACTCCAGCTCAGCAGGGTATTCCTTCTTGGGAAGAAAGAGCGGGAAATCCACCACCCATAGGAAGTGAAAATCAGAGGGATCCCGAACAATCATGCCCTTGTCCTCCAACAGCTGGACACACTGCAGCCGCAGCTTCCCCAGCAAAGAGCGCTGTCCAAAAACATGGAGAGCAGAAGAATATCTATGGTTTATTATTGTAGCAAAATGATTTGCAAATGTGTATGGAGAGTTGTGTGACTATCACAATCCATGTGTGCGTAATCAGATTTGAAAATGTGTAAAAGAACTGAGATGCGGACTGAGATTTGCTGTACATGTGTATCCAGAATTCATGTCCTGGTTTTGCTGTTTCCTGCGTGAGCGAGACTGGTTGCTACCGCGCGAACTTTTAAACTACAACTATAACTATAACCCAAATAATACTTAGAGCTAGAATTAAGCAATCGGATAAATCTTGGCAAGCTTAATAAGTCTCCTGATAATCTTCCAAATCCACGACGGATTAATCGCCTCCGCCCCCGGAGTTT